GCGATGCCAGGAGCCCCTAAAAAGCATCCTTGCTCCTAGTAGTAAGGCAAGTAGCCCTTGGTAGTGCCTAGTAGCAAGGCCAGGAGCGCCACTCGTAGCGCCCTTGCTCCTAGTAGTAAGGCCAGGAGCCCCTGGTAGTGTCCTTGCTCCTAGTAGTATGGCCAGGAGACCCTGGTGGTGTCATTGCTCCTAGCATACCCTAGTAGTGTCTTTGCTCGTAGTAGCGATGCCAGGAGCCCCTAACAGCGTCCTTGCTCCTAGTAGTAGGGCCAGGAGGCCCCTAGTAGCGTCCTTGCTCCTAGTAGCGATGCCAGGAGCCCCTAATAGCGAACTTGCTCCTAGTAGTAAGGCCAGGAGCCTACTAGCGTCCTTGCTCCTAGTAGTATGGCCAGGAGCCCCTGGTGGTGTCCTTGCTCCTAGCATAGTAAGGCCAGGAGCCCCTAGTAGCGTCCTTGCTCCTAGTAGTAAGGCCAGGAGCCCCTGGTAGTGTCCTTGCTCCTAGTAGCGATGCCAGGAGCCCCTAATAGCGTCCTTGCTCCTAGTAGTAGGGCCAGGAGACCCTAGTAGCGTCCTTGCTCCTAGTAGCGATGCCAGGAGCCCCTAATAGCGTCCTTGCTCCCAGTAGTACGGCCAGGAGCCCCTGGTAGCGTCCTTGCTCCTAGTAGCGATGCCAGGAGCCCCTAGTAGCGTCCTTGCTCCTAGTAGTAAGGCCAGGAGCCCCTGGTAGTGTCCTTGCTCCTAGTAGTATGGCCAGGAGCCCCTAGTAGCGTGCTCTCTCTGTCATTGGAATATGTTGTGTGAGAGAAAGAGATAAAGAACAAGGAACACAAAGAGAAGGAGATTTCTACGGTGATGAGTCGAGTTTGAAGAAGAAGAAGAAGAAGAAGGTGGTGAATAATAGTATAATAAATGAAGCATCATTTTACACAGCACTGAAAAGATGTCTCAACAGTGTCCAATTGTGTAAGGAATGGAACCCAGTTTGTACGACCACTCATAGAAATGATTGAATATTCCAATTGTGTTTGTTTGACTAACATCAGTAGTACGGCCAGGAGCCCCTAGTAGCGTCCTTGCTTCTAGTAGTAAGCCCAGGAGCCCCTGGTAGTGTCCTTGCTCCTAGTAGTATGGCCAGGAGCCCCTAGTAGCGTCCTTGCTCCTGGTGGTAAGGCCAGGAGCCCCTAGTAGTGTCCTTGCTCCTAGTAGTAAGGCCAGGAGCCCCTAGTAGCGTCCTTGCTCGTTGTAGTAAGGCCCTAGCAGTGTCCTTGCTCCTAGTAGTACTGAAAACGCACAACGGCTAACTCCCTTTTCCTACCGCTCTCGGGCCGCGACGGGCTGTCGGAATCACACCTGCCCCCTATGGAGCAGATGCCCGACGCCGCCGGTAGGTACGCTTTCGTACCGCGGCGTCTGCTCGGAGGCGTTTTGCCTCCTCAGTGTCCTTGAGCGCCCACATGCCGTCCTCCATGACCGTGACCAGCTTCTGGTTTCCCACCAACTTTGTGAGGTCGTCCGCTAGGATCTCTTCTCCTGGAACCCACCGCACCATCCGAGACCCTCCGTCCTCATGAAGTGCTTGTCTCATCGAAGCCACATCAATGGCTAATCGCTTGTCTTCTCCGAGCGATGTGCCATTGAGCAAATCGTAGCCGGTCTTGGAGTCCATCACGGCCACCTGGCGCCACCTTGACACCGACTGGAGCCAGGTCTTCAGGGAGAAATTCTTCTCCAGGGCCTCAGCCATCAAAGCCCTCAAGAAGTCAGCCTCCTCCATGGCCATCGCTGCCTGCGACACTTCCGCCGCCAGAGATGAGCGCACCACTCGTTTCAGCAAACCTGAGTGGAAGGCCAGGATATTGACCGGAGCTTCTCCCTCGAGAACCTTAGGGTTGGCCACCAAAAGCGCCATGCCACCCTGGGATCGACCCTTGGGCATGCCTCCAAATGAAGCGTCAGACACTGCCAGCACAATCATGTCGTTGATGTGGCAACCCAAATGACGAAACACTTGATGATGGGGCTCCCTAGCTCTCTCCACCAAGATCTTCAGCTCTGAAAGGGCCGTTGGGTCATTGGTGCCATTCAGTTGCTGAATCCTCGAACACCCATACAGCAAATCGGCCCTCACCTGCCTCGCCAACCAGCTCAGCTGACCAATGATGGTCCCAATCCAGGCCTTCTCATTGGGCATCAGCGGCTGTCGACTCTGTGGATTGGACCTCGATGGTGGATCCTTCACCTTCTTCGAGTACTCGTTCATCTGTAAGGTGATCGAGTAGTCGTCGTTCTGCCTCTCCCACCGGCCACAGAACTTGGTGTCCTCCTTCGGGTGCACCCAATCACCAAAAGTAAACAGGGACTTGAGTTGCGGCCACAACTTCTGTTCAGCTTCTTCGCTTCCAATGAATCGGACATCATCCACATGGACTGCTAGCATCGCCCACACTTGCCCTTCAGGATCATAGAAAGCGAACACTCCTGGCGCCAATCGAAGCTCTTTGCCGCCAATGCTCATGATGTCCCTGCTAAATCGCTGGTACCAAAGTCGAGGACTCTCAGCTAACCCAAAGCCAGCCTTCTTCATACGAAAGACATCAGTACGTGCCCCAGGAGGCACTTTGGTCAGCAGGAACTCACGCACAAACAACGGGTAGTTCTTGGGTGACTGCACAAACACTCTTCGGCCCTCTGGAAGATAGTCACCCTGCAAGAACGCAGCGGAGATGTCGGCAAAGTACATGCGCCAACGAAACTGGGCTGCCACAAAGCAAAGGAAGTTGTGGGCAACCAGACTAGCTGTTGGAGCATCGGTCGCATAGTCACCCGCCCTTTGATCTCGGTGTCCAGCAATCACCAATCGTGCTTTAAGCTTTGCCATAGCCAAGTCTTCATCTGTTGGATGTATATTCTTGGGATCAGCCTTGTTCACAAGAACAAATCGACTTGGCAGCACTTCGGATGCATGCACTTCCTCTTCTGGCATCACCGGAGCGAGGGCATCATGATCGAAGTATATCTGCAAAGCGTCGAGAATCGGCTGCTCAAATGCCTTCTGCCAAGCCATTGACAGCTGTGTCCATTGCAACTCCAGCCGCATTTTGCCAGTCTCTGGTTTCTCCACATCAGCTTCCGGAACCAGTAGGAGTTGCTCAGCGGTGCACAACTCAGTCAAACCACGATGGTCGGGATGAGCGGTTGGAGCAGCCAGTGCAGCCGTGGTCTGAAAAGCCTGAAAGCACTCTAGCACATCCAAGGCTACCTCCAACCGATGAGATTGGTCAGCATGTAGTCCATCGGCCGTGTCAATGAAGTTGGCCGCATGCCCTTCAGCCACCAACACCTGGTAAGCGGCATTTGCTTTGAGATGTCTCCTCCACAAATCTTCCGCAGCAGCTCTTCCTTGATTCCATGTGGCCAGGATAGGGTGGTCCTTCACGGGATCCATAGTGACGAACCGAGTGACGCCTCGCCACAATTGATTCATGTGCACCGAAGCGTTCCAGCCCTTCCAGAAGATGTTGTCCACCAAGTACTCCTTGGACGCCTGGGGCGACAGGTACCCCACCTGAGTCGCCCGTAGCCCTTGTAGTCCAGGTACCTCAGAAGGAACACATTGTGCATCTTGTGGGTGGTCTTCATCAGGGATCACGCCCGGCACAAAGAGATACTGCCGAGGTTGAAGGTGCACTCGCCATAGCTCTCGCTGCGAAGGCGCATGTAGCCAATAGTCAGACTCACCGCTCAATCGTAGCAACATCTCACCCGGCAAATTCGCTTCCATATAGTCACTGAGTTCATCTAATACTTGAGCACGTCCGGGCGCCTTCTTGTAAACCTCGATGATCTCGGTGCGAGTGAGAGGTCGTCTAAGCCTCCCGGGAACATCTCCCAGCATGCGCCACTTGGCCACCGGCACTTTGGCCCTAATGCATGGTGTTGGATTCCTCCGCCGGATACCAATCCTCCTCTCACCGTCAGGTCGCCAGTCAGCCTCCAGCACGTCATAGTCCACATTGATCGGGTGGCACTCCCTCAACATGTCCACCACGTACATATCATGCGAGACTTCATGAGGGTTGCCCTGGTCATCATAGACATTGGGTACCGCAAACATGTCAACCTCAATGAATGGCGAGTCCATTGACGGTGAAGTCTCATTGGTGTCCTCCGAAAACGGGCTATAGCAGGGGTCTGCACTGTTCGGCACCTCCGACTCGCCCCCTTCTTCAACAAGCTCACAATCCCGGACAGGCACGACCACCATGGCCTCCTTTTTCTCAAGCTTCGTCTTCATCTTCTTCAGGTGTTCTTGGGTCGACTTAAAGGCAGTCTCGTAGAAATCTCGCTTCTGCCTGACTGATGTCAAAGCTGGATCGACTGCCGAAGACGAAGCCACCGTAGCCCTGATAGACGAAGCTTCCGCATCCAGCTTGCGCCTCGTCGATCTATCCGCTTGCCCTTGATCTGCTTTCTGTTTGATCTTCTGCGCCACCGAGATGGGCATGTCATCTAACACCGAAGTGGCACGGTGGAGATCCTCTACTCTCACGGGCTTGTCCTCGGCCGGTTGTTCATCATCACTGAACTCCATAGGCGGGTACCGGGGATCAGGATCAACAGGTGCTGGCAAGGGTACCGGCTCATCTTCAGGCACAATGTCTGCATTCACCCTGCCCGACTGGAGCTTCTTCATCAGGTCTTGTAGAGCTTCCTTGGTCACCTCCGTGGACTCAATCTCATCTCCAGTTGCCAATCGAACATGCTCTAAAGGTAGTCCACGAAGCTTGTGCCTGTACCTAATCCACACCCGCTTGATCGCCCCGTCGAACCTTTCCACGGCCACCACCACGGCTGGTCCCACCCAAGATACTTGGTCC